GAAAGTAAACTTTCGAACCGTGGGCCGAAAGTAAAAGTCAAAAAATACAATAAATTATAAAAATTTCATTTTTTTTCGGCCCACGGGTCGACCCGTGGGCTGACAGTAAAAGTCAAAATAGTGACAATACGTTCTTCGATAAAGGAATTTGTTTCCATACTTATCCTTTTGGCGAAAATCTTTTTCTACTACAACATATTGGCAATGACCTGTAAATATAAATAAAAAGTAAGACACAGCTATAATAATCTTTGTGACAAATCATTTTATTTCTGATTTATAATTAAAAGTAATAATATAGTAGGTATTCTATTCATTATTGACCTTCCTTTTCAAACAATGAGAAGCGTGGCGAAACCAATCCATCATGGTAGCTTCGAACCGTTTAGCAGTAGCTTTGGAAGTTTTCTGAACTGCTCCTAGCAATAAAAAATACCAATATTTTTAAAGAATCTTTGAAAAAATCAAAATTTTTAAAGAATCTTTGAACAAATTTTGTTGCATTTATTTCCGAACACCCTTATACCTCCTAATGGTTTGCGTTTGAGGGACCGAGGCCTCCTTGGAAAAATTATTAGTGAAATCAATTGTATTCATATTATTGTGTGTCGATGTATTTGCTGTGTGTATTTGTGACAAAATATTTTAGAGGAGCCTATTTTAATTATCCATTCAATATTTACTTGGGATTTCCTATTTCCTGAACGATGCACAATAACACAGGGGGTGAGCTTTAACTAATTTTATTTAATATAAATGAAATACACATGCATCACTCAGCATCACCTCCTGCTAGTATACTTAGACCGTGATGGGCGTTATGTTAAAGCAACAGTAAAAGAACCAGCTCAATGGTTATTTGATTAACAGAATACATTGTAGAATACGTAGAATTTACAAATAATCCTAGGGCTTGGGGATCAAAAATATAAGTGAAAATGTCCTTACCTTTTCCATGATTTCTTGCAGCTTTCCCTTATAATTATTATCACTCGAGACACTTTTAAAGACACAAAACATAAAAATTCAATTTTGTCTAAGGTATTATTAAAACAGTGCAGGCGTGCGGCGTGGCTTTTTCCTTCCGACTCTCACCACTCACCAGTTAATTTTAACCTCTCTTTTTTAGCCAATACCTACCCCGCATTAGGCTGTATTTTTTGATGGCACATAAACAGCTCTGTTTTCACGTCTGTTCCAGTCGTTGCGATATTTCAAATAAACATCGCTCATTCGAAACTCCATGTACCCTTAACTAACGTTATCATTTTATCACAGCAAAACGTTTCAACTTACAACGTTCACTGTAAATGTAACAAAAATGTCATGTAAGAACATAGTTTTGATGTCAAAAATAAAATGTTTCTATACTGACACGACTGCTCCGTTACTAGCATGTTTACCTTACAACGTAACAAACGCATGAAATTAACCTCACAGAGACGTTAATTATTCCAACGTTAAAAAAAGTCGTAATTATTACAGCCCTGAAATGTATAGGAAAATCGTTATTTAAGTTCCATTAAATTAACGTTACTAAACGCGGCAAGGATGTTTCTTGCTTAGTGGGAGTATATTGTGCAACAAGTGTTGTAAAGTGCTTTTCACACGAGTTACACACTATACTTTTCCTACGACTGCGAAATAACTATTACTATATTTACATTGCGATTTATTTATTTATTTTTTTGTTGAAAAATTATTATTTAAACTATCAAATAACACACTAGTGTGATAAAAACCATAACCAACTAGTGTGTTATGGTTTATAACTCGCACTCTCTCATAACGACAACGCGAAACGTCAGGAAATAAAAAATTATAAATCCTGCTCATTCCCAAAAAAATACCTGTTAGTTTTTTCAGTTCTTGTATGCTGCTCGAGTGTTATGATTTTTCAGTTGTTGGATAAAACATTATATGCTACTCGTGTGTTATGTTTTCTAAGCCTGATGGCCTTATTGTATATCTAAATTTTTCTCACGTGACTTAATTTTCAACATAACACACTAGTACCATAAAAAACTATGATATTTCTCCAGAAAAAAATATTCCAATTGGCTATTTTGGATTTTCTCAAAAATACAGGGAAAGTGAAAAATTGCCCCTGTTCAGGGGCGGATGGGCCCACCGGGATACCGGAAGATTTCCCGGTGCGCCGGTCTTTCAGGCGCCGACAGGCGCTGCCACTGAAAATTCTATAATGATTGAAAAAGCAAAATAGCCAAATAGCTAAAGCAGGTGACGTACTGGAGAAATAGGTTTCATGAAACTTGATACAAGAAACAGGAAATTTGTTTCATCATCATACGACACATACCTATTCAAATGAGCGGAGCGCGGAGCATACTGGCCACACAATTTCTGCTCTCCTGTTTCAGAAACGCCTGTGTGCTCCGCCTCATTTGAATGTATGTGTTGTGTTATGTGATAATAAAACACATTTCCAGTTTCTTGCAACAAGTTTCATGAAACTTACTTCTCCATCAGTGTGTCACCTGCCTAACTTATTCAATTAATTGATTTGGCAGTTGGCAACTTTGCAACTCTGGAACTCTGTAAATCATAGTTATGTAATATATAGGTACCATTCCTAATGTTTCATATTCATGGCACATATTGCCTCGCTTGCGTTTTGAGGTACCTCCGCGTGCATGCAAATGGAGTAGAAACACGAGCGGCGCAGCGCAGATTTTCAGCAGTAGGTAACTTCATTAGGTCTGTCCAACCCGCCCAAGAACTCTATATACAAATTTCGGATTCTGCGCACAAATTTTGAGTTTTGCGCAGAATCGTGACAGTGGAATGTATGGTTCCCGGCTGGGTTCGAGCAAATCTGTCGCCTTGTCTTTATTCAACTCGACAGAAGGGTTTATACGTAGGTCGCCTGTCCGGGCCCGCTGTGCGCCCACTTTTGTTTAAACCAGCCCCGCGGCTCTGGCAAATGCACAGAGCTTTCGGGGCCTAATCTTTCTTATATCTTCGGAGTCAATAACGTATCTGCCAAAGTACACCGTTCTGATCCTGGCAATAGCTGGACATTCGGTAAGGACATGGATAGAGGTTTCTTCATCCTCCAGATAGAATCTGCACTCAGGGTCATCTACGATACCTGCTATCAAGTGCAGATGCAGATGTCTGTTGAGCTGACAGAGACCGGTGAAGAGTCCTGTCAGCAATATAAAAGGGTATGCGATCGCTTGATTCGTTGGCACGAACGGACACTGTCCAACGAATATGATGACGCATTTCTGCAAATGTATCATCTTCACCTCGCAAGAAATTCCATAGTACCTAATGATATTAAGTTTCATGCTTTTCGATTTTTTTTGCTAGATAGGCGCAGAGATATGGGAGAGTTGTTGGTTAGAATAGAATAAGGATCCATCCTGCGCAACTGGCCGAATTTGAAGGACCGTCATTTTTAGCACTTGTCAAATTCGGATTTGGAAAATGAGCAGAAATAACAAAAAGAAATCTTGGAAACACCGCTCTGATAAAAATATCTCAGAAAAAGCAGGAAAAATCGCCAAAAACAACAATCTGTAACCGAGCAAAAGTAAGGTTATGTTGTAAAAAAAACTGTCAGATTGATGTTATCAATGTAAAAACTAATGGCGTTTCCGATTGGTAGATTTAATGCGTACTGAGTGTATTTTCATCCTTTTTCATCAACCTGTAGAAGAAAAAAACAGAAATAAAAAAAACTGCACTAGATCTACTAATCGGAAACCGCATAAGTAAAAAGTGATAAAAATGGCGGCACCCTATGTGTTACCATATAATCGGATGCGCAGTCGTTTAAGCGCATTCTATTTCCCTCACATATCTCTGGATAGGCGCGGCGCCGTTTTAATCGACTTCCCGCGTCGATCTGAGGCGCCCCATCCGCCCCTGCCCCTGTTTAGTCCTCGATGGATGACCCTGTAGTACCGTACCAAAAATGTGTTTTTTTTTTAAAGATAAAAGTCAAAATGACATTATGTTGGCAATACAATGTAAAATTCTCAATGCTTTCAAATTTTTTATGTAGAAAGGACTTGTATTGCCAACATAGTTACTATATTTTTGACTCGGGGAATTATCTCTGACAGACTTTAACAGCATTGTAGAACTAACATTCACCTGCATCACTAACTATTAATTTGATTGTCTATCCTGTATGTCCAAATAAATTCAATAAAATCAAAACAAAAAAATCCGAACAAAAATGTTTCACTGCGATCCACAAGAAGAATTGTTATCAACGAGAATTTTTTTAAGTATTGCGGAACTTTGTGCGGTAATTCGAGGGTATTTTGCGTACTTCGACGGTAACTCCATAGAATTTCGAATATTTCGAGGGGAATATCTGGTATTTCGAGGTACTTCACGGTATTTCTAGCTACTTCGAAGTATTTCGGAGGTAAATCAAGCCAAGTGTTGTATTTCGGGAAGTGGTTAACTCCTTGGAAAAACCATTTTTGTGCACACTAAATCTAAGATGGCCGAGAAAGCCAGCCCGACCTGATGTCAAAAACTCGAATTTTTCTTTAGGGCTTCAATCTGAGCAACATATGTCAAAATTGCAATTACCCCACCTTTTACAAGCTGAATCTTTCTTATGACCAAACTATGTCAAAAATTGAAACTATGGTCCGAATATAACCGAAAGTTAACCAAAGTGCCTAACCGAATCGGTTGATAGGTGGTTACTGAAAATTCCGGTTACTTGGGGAACGCTAATAGAAATAAAAAATAATTGACAGAAATGACCAAAAGAACCGACATCGGATAGCCGGTAACTATTTTGACATTTGGTTAACCAGATTTCAGAAAATCGAGGTCTAAAAGTAACCACTTTTCCAGGAACCAAAGTAATTTAATTACTTTCGGACCGCGAAACCACACCGTGATTATATTCGGACATAATTTCAAAAAGCCCATAATTCTAATTTTAATTCCAAAGATTATTCAAAAAAAAATTATCAATGGATGGAAGCTAATTCAATTGATTTCAGATACTTTCCAAATGACCCTCCTGTTTTAAGAGACCTTTCCTTTTCGATTCAATCCAAAGAAAAAATTGGTATCGTCGGTAGAACCGGAGCTGGGAAATCGTCTACTATAAATGCCTTATTCCAACTAAGTGACACAACAGGCTCGATTATCATCGATGATATCAATATCACAGAAATTGGTTTGCACGATCTTCGTACCAAAATTTCAATTATACCCCAAGAACCTGTACTGTTTTCTGGAACCATGCGAAAAAATTTAGATCCGTTCGATGAATACAGCGACAGTGAGATTTGGAAAGCTTTGGAAGATGTCGAATTGAAACAAGCCGTAGATGATCTTACTGCTGGACTTAATTCGCAAATGTCTGAAGGTAATTTCTCCTTAAATCAAGTAAAAAGGTAATAACACAAATTTGTTTTAGGTGGTTCAAACTTTAGTGTAGGCCAAAGACAATTAGTCTGTTTGGCAAGAGCAATTTTGCGCAACAATAAAATTCTCGTTATGGACGAGGCTACAGCCAATGTAGATCCTCAAACTGATGCACTTATTCAACACACTATCAGAAGAAAGTTTGCCGATTGTACAGTACTTACGATTGCTCATAGACTCAACACTGTAATGGATTCTGATAAAGTCCTCGTTATGGATGCTGGTACAATGAAAGAGTTTGACCATCCATATATTCTTCTCCAGGAAAAAACTGGAGTTCTTTACAGCATGGTGCAACAGACTGGCAAATCCATGGCGGAAAATTTGTATGAAGTTGCTAAGCAAAATTATGAGACCCATCATAAAAGCGATAATAATTAATTTAGCTAGGAAGTTTTAGCTAGAAAAATGGTACCTACATTTATTTTTTATATGGTTCTGTAGGTATTTTTTGGCACTTTGTTAGCTAGTGTTCCTTTTGTAAAATGTTAGGCCAGTATGATTAAAGTAGGTAGATAATTATTGCTGTTCCAAAGTCTATAGTTGCCTTAAAAATAAAATCAATATATTTTTGTAACTTTACATACATCAACAGGTTTTTTTAAAATTAACTGTGAAAATATTTTTTTATTGTAATAAAAGTGCAAGATCAAAACAAAATTATAAGTTTCGGTTGTCATTTAAATATGGATTTTCAATTATAGTTTTATGATTCTCATATTTCTATATTATATTAGTTTGTTTGCCTTATTCTAGTAATTCCTAATATAACATAACAGGTACGTTTATTAAAACCAGAAAATTATCTAAATATCATCCAAATGAATTTCCTCGCCGTGTTTTTGCATTCCAACAACATTTTCTGCGATTTTTTAGTTATTTTTAATCAAAATCTATCCAACATAGTCTTAAATATGTTAGAGATTACAAAAAAACAACCCAAATTGTAGCAAACAGTCATACTGATGTGAAGTTATCAGACAAAAGTTATCAGACAATTTTCCGGAAACAGCCGAAGGTTCAGTGGCGTCGGTTTTTTTTTATATGTATATTTTACCTTTATTTCTTGTAACATCGGCTTATTAGGTGCTCCCTAAAGATATCACATGAAAATTCTCAATATTTTCTTATTATTAGTAGGTACAAATCTACGGTCTTTGAAATTGTCAAGGGTGAAATACGTTGAAATATGTTTTTTCACTTCTCTCAAAAACTGCCCGTACTGACAGGTTCAAATTATTACTAGACATTATTTAGACTACAAAGAACAATAAAAAAATATACCATACCCTGCGCCCCTACGGTCTTTGAAATTTTTAAAGGTGAAATACGGTGAACTATGTTTTTTCACTTCTCACAAAAACTGCCCGTACTGACAGGTTCAAATTAATACTAGACATTATTTAGATCACAAAGAACAATGAAAAAAATATACTACACCCCTGCGTCCCTAGGGTCTTTGAAATTTTTAAGGGTGAAATATATTATTCAACTTTTCTCAAAAACTGCCCGTACTGACAGGTTCAAATTATTACTAGACATTATTTAGACTACAAAGAACAATAAAATAGTTATTTGTTTTACAAGGCAGAAAAGTACAAGATTTAATGCCGCGGCTGGTGTTTCATAGCCGAGGCTAGGAAACCAGCCGAGGCATTAATTCTGCTTTTCTGCCATGTAAAACTGTAATATACTATAAATGAAACACACTAATTTGAGTGATGGTCTATTTATTACTAAAATATTCAATTCTCCGTACCCAAAGGAATGGTACTCTAGTCACAAAAAACCCATTGTTAATCTAACAATACACTAATAGTGAGCTAGCGCATACACGACTATTTAGAGTTATTAGAGACGTTATGCACATATATCACACCTTCTCCCTTATTTTCTAAACATTTTCTTTATATTAATTCTAAGTACAATTAGTTTAACCCGACAACTAATCTTTCGGGCGGTTTTAACCTACTCCGACGCCTTAATACCGGAATGTCAACTTTTGGTTGTTGCACTTCACTATTTGATACATTCTCGATGTTACAATCATTTGTGCCACTATTATCACCAAAAATATTATTAGTATTACTGTTGAGTTCAGAGCGTGGAATAATGGAAATTTCATGGTCAAGATTATTATCAGTATCAGCATTCTTGGCAAAATTTTGTTTTAATTGATTTGTATGACGTTTCCATTTCAAACCACAATCTGTTTCAATTGCATAAGTTCTTCTACCAAGTATTTCGATGATTTTACCTTGACACCATGTCGGTTTATTTGCTCTGAAATCCTTAGCCCAAATGCGATTTCCGATATTAAAAGTAACTTCTTTTTGAGAACCATAATATTTTTTTTGAGAAGATTGTTTTTCAATAACTGTATTGGAAACAGAAGGCAATAATAAATCAAATTTAGTTCTGAGATTGCGCCCTATTAAAATCTTGGCAGGTGTTTCCCCCGTTGTGGTATGACAAGTATTACGATATAATAATAAAAATCTATTTATTATTAAATTAACGTCCATACCTGGATTATCATGCCGAGATTTTAATATAGCGTTTTTCATAGTTTTAACAGCATTTTCCGCTAAACCGTTTGTCGCTGGATGATATGGTGCCCCAGTTAAATGTTTAACGCCACTTCCACAAAGAAAATTCTGGAATTCCTCTGACATAAATGTGGTAGCATTATCAGTACATAATTGTATTGGAAGTCCATATCTAGCAAAAAGTTCCCTGAAAATTTTTATTGTAGTGGTGGCAGTTATGTTATTAACCTCAAAGCACTCAATCCATTTTGATGTTGCATCAATTACAACTAAAAAATTTTTGTTGAAGACTGGCCCAAAAAAATCTGCATGTAAGCGTGTCCATGGTTGTTTTGGCCACTCCCACACTTCTAACGAAGTTTTTGGTGTATTATTTGCAAAAATCGCACAACAATTACATTTCTTAGATAAAAGTTCTATTTGAAAATCTATTAAAGGCCACCAAACATAGGATCTTGCGAGCGATTTCATTTTAACTATTCCCATATGTGTAGAATGAAGTTCATTTAACACCAAATCTTGCAATTTGGGTGGAATAATTAATCTGAAACCCCACAATACACATCCTTGTTCAATGCTTAGTTCATTTCTTCTATTGAAATAAGGTTTAAATCCCTCAGATGGACAAACATTTGGCCATCCAAAGCGTAAATAAAAAAGTGCCTTAGTTGTCTAAGATCCGGTCTTGTGACCGGATCTTTATTTGTTTCGTTTTTTACTTGAGAAAACTCAATAGGTATTTGACCTTCTTTCAACAAATTCAAATAAGATACTGCGGAATTTATTTTAAAAAATAATATTTTGTCGTCCTCGTACTGAACCGAATTCATTGAAGGACTTCTAGATAAAAAATCTGCTGTATTTTTAGCAGAACTAACATATTTTATGTCGAAAGTAAATGCGGACAAAATATGAGCCCAGCGTTGCAAACGATTTGCTGCAAAAACCGGTATTCCTTTTTTATCACCAAATAATGGTCAACAAGGGTTTATGATCGGTTATCAATAAAAAATTTTGATTATAAATATACTGGAAAAACTTCTTTACTCCAAAAATAATAGCTAACGCCTCTTTTTCAATTTGTGAATAAGAAACTTCAGCCTTATTCAGAAGACGTGACGCAAAAGCTATTGGTTTTTCTATATTATTGTCAAAAACATGACTTAAAGTGGCCCCCAAAGCGAACTGAGATGCGTCCACTGTTAATTTAATTATTTTAGAGGGGTCAAAATGTGTCAAAAACTTTGATGACAATAACATATTTTTAGAAGTTTCGAAACTTTTCGAGCATTCTAATGACCAATGCCACTTTGCATCTTTTTTCAAAAGACTATATAAGGGTTTTAGTATATCCGAAGCATTTTGAATGAATTTACAATAATAATTTATCATTCCCAAAAACGACTTAAGTTCAGTGACGTTTTTAGGGACGTGACATTTTTTAATTGCTAACACTCTCTCTTCTGAGGTATGTAACCCTGCTTTGTCAATTCTGTGACCAAGATAATTTACAGAGTCTTGAAATAGCGAACATTTTTCTTTCCTAACTTTCAAACCACATTCTTGAAGTCGACGGAAAACATACTCTAGGCGCTCCAAGTGTGAAAAATCGTTTTCCCCAGTGACCAAAATATCGTCCAAAAAACAAACGACTCCCGGACATATAAATATTTGTTCCATTATATTTTGAAATATGGCCGGAGCGCTCGTTATTCCAAACGGTAATCTGGTGTAAGAAAAAAGACCCTTATGTGTGGAAATTGTCACAAGTTTCCTAGATTCTTCTGTAAGCACAATCTGCTGATAAGCTTCAGACAAATCTATCTTGGAAAACTTTTGACCACCCTGTAATTGTGCGAATAAATATTCGACGCGAGGTAAAGGAAAATGAACATTTTCTAAAAAAGGGTTTAATGTTATTTTAAAATCTCCGCATATGCGTATATCCCCATTATTTTTTAAAACTGGTACAATAGGAGTTGCCCATTCTGAAAATTCAGTTTTTACTAATACACCATTTTGCACAAGACGGTCAAGTTCCTTTTCTATTTTAGGCTTCAAAGCAAAAGGAATTGGCCTTGCTTTGCAAAATTTTGGAATTGCTGCATTTTTTACATTTATGGTAACTTTAAATTTATTAAATGTGCCAATCTTTGAATCAAAAATTTCTTGGTAATTTTTTAATAACCTAGAAATACTTGTAGAAGAATCCGTGCAACCTTGTACTATGCTAGATACTGTATACATGGAATTTTTTTCTAAAAGCTTAGAATTATCCGTATTTAATTTACAAAAGCCAAAATTAAGCATAGATAACGCATTTCTGCCGATCAGTGGAGGGCCTCCATTTTTTATTACTTAAGTTTTTAGAATATATTTTTTTTTCTCAAATTTAATATTTAATTTCAAATAACCAATTGGTTTGAAGGTGAGGCCGATATAATCAGTTAAAGACAAATCGTTAGTAAATACCTCTTTGCCATTAAAATGTTTAAAATATAATTTCTCTGAGATTGCTGAATGAGCGAAACCAGAATCAATTTCAAAATTTATTGGTATATTTTCAACAATTAAGTTAATAAAAAATGGCTTGATATTACCTGAACTTTCTATCCTATTTACATCCAAGTCCCGAATATTAAATATAGATTCTTCAGAGTCTTGATTGTCTTGTAAAAAATTATGTCGACTGCTACGTTTACATTGGGGTGCTAAATGACCTTTCATGCCACAGTTATGGCAATTACAATTTTTATAAACGCAATCTTTTATAGAATGATTTTTACGACCACACACTGTGCACTTAATCCGGGCTGTATCACTTCCTCCTGC